TTTCGAAGGGCGATGTGTAAGCGTGCGATGGTTGTGCCAACACACAGCGCACACTGATGTGATTGGTTTCCCAGCGCAAATTAGCTCATCGTTCTGTGATTGGTTGGCGTATTACTGTTTGAATGGGGCACGAATAAGCCTTCAGTGGCTGCTATCGTAGTCTGGTATCTGTTTAGCAGGTCTTTCCCATTCAGTACATGTAGAATGCTGTTCTCGATTAAGAAGATTCCCACTCGAAGTGAAGTACGGACAGGAATACTTGCGCACCTACACTGAAGCAATACAACAAGATTTGACGCAGTGGTGGCCAAATGTATTCCCTGATTTCCACTTACACAATCTTTTTGCCGAATTAACCCCCGCAGAACACATAAAACCCACACGCCTTCGCGATCAATACACAGCGACGACCGCTCTACGATCCAGCTACGCTCATTGGACAATTTTTGTGATTTGCGCATCCTACGGTTTTGCTGGACCACAGATGGGATCTGGTTGTGAAGTGAAGCTAATGAAGAACGCATAGTCCCGTGTGGATGGGACTTCGGATCCACTCGTTCAATCTGACGGCCTCTTCACTTTTAGGCATTCACTTAATAGCGCTTTAGTTTGTTCCTCGAGCACACCGACAACCACCGGTAACGCGAGAAGTGGTGACTGGCGCGTGGATTGCATTCTAGTGAGGACGACTTAGCTGGCACCGACCTTATTTTTGTGTTCTAATGACAAGAGGTTTCGTAAATAAATTCACAGGCAGCAAAGGGCGGAATTAACTACTCTTAATTGTTTTTATCGACCAATCGAGATGCTTACTAGGGAACTTCGGTTGCATTTAACAAAGTTTCGTTAAGGCACAGGCGAGAGTTGGGCGTCGGGTGGGGTTTCGGGTGCGATCCCTAATCTGTCAGAGCGACTAATTCTGCCCGTACAGCTCAAGTGCCAAAAGGGACAACATGGACAGATAAAGGTGCGACAAGGTGATGTAATTGGCGCGAGCTTTCCTACTACTGCAATTAGTCGGATCTGCTGTAAAGTGGCAACGCAAAAGTAGTAATAGAAAACACAAGGAGCCGTCCTCGAGCCATGCACTACTTGCCTGGGAACCAGTCAATGAACGCATGGCTTATGTACGCCTGAAGGGCCACCTCAAAAACATATCTGTGGTCGCGGTATATGCACCAACGTCCAAGCAAGCAAGGAAACACAAGGATCTGTTGGCGGGGAACCAGATGCCGCTTAGGTTTATAATACATGCTCACCGTGGGTTATGATGTCTACCAAAGGAAGTGTTTGGTAATATAATAGCTGGTCAGTCGTGCATCGCACTGTGGACCGCAAATATAGTGCTAACTGTAGACATTCAGAAACCTAGAATAAGGGAAGTTGGTCCTGACGTCGAAATTTTGGAGGGACAGGACATTGAGTCCAAAGGAAGATAGGAAACGCTAAACTGATAGAAGGGAATATTGTGGGTTAGTCCCCTGATCGCGGTCTATGCAAAATCCCAATAAAAATCAAATAGTTATATAATATTCCCATGGTTAATATTAGAAGTCAGTTTATGCCAAACAATTGTTTTCAGCAACTCTTCATCAGACCAAACATTTGCAGAACTCCAACAGCTGCAGCATACACTAAGTGAAAATGGATACCCGGAAA